AACCTGCTTTTCATTGCGCAGTTTCGTGTATAAACTGTTGACCTGCTCAGTCTTCTTTTCAAGTTCAGCTTCAGCTCTAGAGCAGCGTTCTATAAGCTCAGAACGATGATGAGACAAGAAACTCACTTTATCTGAAAGAACCTTGATAGATAACCGGAACTCTGCAGTACCATCATCTTCATCCTCGCTTATGGAACTGAAACAAAATACATTATAAACCAGAAATAAAACTGTAAAACCCCTAGAGAAACAAACTCTTGTGGAAAAAAAAAGAAACAAACTCCTGTGGGGGGAAAAATTGTACATCACAGTAATGACATATAGTAATGACAACAGGAAAACCAACAGATACATATGCATTTTTCCTCTTTAAAACAATCATAGATATGAAGTAACTGAACAAAATAAATAATGGATTCATCTGATGCAGGCAAAGATCAACTAAACGTAAGGGAAATTAAATTACATCAAATGTTCATCAACTCCAGAAACGATTCATATGAATTTAGCAACAGACGATTACCTGGTCAAAGAAAGAGCTAGAGATCGCAACGTATCTGCAAAATTAGCCACTCCGACTTGTGCAGTAACACAACTACGGAACCTTTCAAAGAGACTGTGCATTCTTACAGCAGTCATACGCAGAGCACTGTACTCGGACGCCCTTCTATCAGCTGCACATAGATTTGTGCGTGCTTCTTCTCTTGCTTCATGCAGACAGTTCTCCAAATGTGCACAATTGATCTGCTTAGAGGGAGAAGAGAGTTATAAAAAGTTATGTTAGTTGTAGTTACAAATTGAAAATGCTTGGCAGTGAGCTAAATTTCATCAAACCTAGAAATTGAGAAAAAAGTGCTGAAGACACTGTACAAGATACTAAAATAAGTCGCATATCCCACACATCAGTGAGGCAGAATGCAGTACAACATTTTGATGTCCGCATCAACAATGCTAACAACATACATTCACATTTTGTTATGTGATGCATGTACAAAGTATTCAGGGTTATTGTAGGTAGGAGCAGTTACCTAAAATTGTTATGTTAATAATGGCCCATGAATTTAAACACACAAACACATCCATAAGGCTGGACATGACACATTCAACTAGTACCTGACTAAGTTATTAACGATCACCAGGTACGTTCATGCACAGAGACGAAACTTACAGGTGATAAAAAAGGGTGAATTGCAGACCCCCCCTGGTAAACATACATCTTATATTCTGCTTAGTTTAATAGCAGGTGACTCATACGCAGATCTAGGTGGCCTTCATATTCAAGATTGAGCAAAATTTTGGTGGTATTGGTTCGGCAATCTGCCTTTTTTCAAGACAATGTAGATAGTTGTAGTTCGAAGTTTCGTAACTGGATTTGCAAGCGGGGCATGAACCTGAGCCGGCTCTAATGTCTCTGTTCCTTCTAGTATTATCATTCTCCCAATCATACCTGTTCTTTTTCCCCGCTTCCCACTATCTACGTTTTACTGTGTTTACTTTTGTGTTTCTCTTACCTGCACCTTTCTGTTTCTTATCCTCCACATTTGTGAATGTATCTTAGGCTTAATTACAATCTTGTGCTTGGTATAGCGATTGGGCTGTGCAATTTGGCTCTTGTTCTACTAGCTCTGAAAAACAAAATGAAGATGTTTCTATACATCAATATAATTTACATGCTTGCAACTATTATTAGCCATTAGTTTGTATACTTGTAATGTATATCGCACCATGGTCAGTAAAGGATTAATCCTAATGTAAAGGTCATGGACATGATAAGCGGACATGGTGCATGAGTAATTCTTCGGTTCTTTAAGAATATATTATGCAATTAGATGAATGAATGATTAGTATGGAAAATTTTTATATGAATAACATAATCGTGTTAAAAGCTTCGTAAACTTAACCAACTTCTTTTACTTTCAGAGCCCAATTGGTTTAGTGATGAAAATAATTATTGACAATGTTATTCATCAGAAGATGTTTAGATTAGCCAAATCTGTCTGTTTATATCTTTATTCTTTTTTTGTATTCATTAGATGTGTGACTGGTATCATGTCTCTTTCCGCTCTTACTTTACTAGCGTGTCAGTAAGCTGATTGACGTGATAGAATTGATTGATTTTCCATTGCTGCATATTGCATTACATCTGAAAGTGGAGTATAATCTCAGTAGTTTAACTCTAGGAAGGTGTCTGATCTTAATTTCAGGTATTATTGTGTAAAAATTCATTACAATTCAACCATATTAGTAACTAATCAAATGTAGACAGCTGCAGTTCTAATAAATGAAAGATAACTATTGAACTGTCAATTGTGGCATTCCTCTTCCTCTAAGTTTTATGATTCCTTTTCGTAGCGCAGGCATTTTCTTCCAGTGTTCACCAGGCCTGCTTGAAGCAAGCATTTGAAAAAAAGCTTATTCAGTGTTGATCGCACGACCTATACTCACTTTAGCAGACAGTCTGAGCGTTATTTCTTAGAATCTCCCTACTTTGAACCACGGTGTTCTGCTATTGAGCGACCATGACGAATCGAAGCATCTATGTGTTTTGATTTTGATCTGAAAGGATGGATTTTGCGTTCCAAGATGTCAATATTTCAAGATGCTATGTCACCATGTCCTGCTCCTTTCATCTTCGACTAAGAATTGAAATTAGCGCCTCCTATTGTAGAACGCCAGAACAATGTTCACGATGAGGCCTTTCACGCTAGCTCATGGTATTTCTACAAATCTGCCCTATTTAATATAGGATTCATTAGCCTTTGTTTTTGTGTGCATTGCCTTCAGTGTGTTAGAGCAAATATCAAAGATTTATTTTCCTGTTCAAGCTTTCCATTTATTTTCCCTTCTTATATGTTTCTGATGTTTATGCAGCCCAATTAGTAACTACCTCCGTTAGTTCCTGTGAATCATCTCTTTAGCTGTTGCTTGTTAAGTCTCCATCCTAACCGCCATGCGCCTTAATTTTTCATGGGCTCGTTTGATCTGTTTTACATCGGGACAATTTCTTTAGAGCGTTGGATATTAAGATTTTGCTTGAAGCATGAATGTGTATTCTGCTATTTTCTTTGGGCATGTGTTTATCTCGGCCTAACTTTTTTTAAATTACTATTTCAGTAGATGGACAGTCAAGTCATGGTAACAAGCCTACAATTAGCACAAATAAAGAAGTTGAAACGACACAAGCCGCTTGGCGATCAATATCATAAGTTCCGGGACTTGCGCTCCATCCCATGTCGGTGACTGACCTACCGTGAACCACATTTAGCGACACTGTATCTCCGGGCAGACAACTCGGGCAAACCCTATTTACCAACCGACTCATCACTGAACAAATTCTCTGCTGGCAGGATCTGACACAATACCTTCTTCAGCCGATTCCCAAATCACTTCGGCTTCTATATGAACAGTCTCTCATGGTCTTAGGGTCGAATTCCCTACTGTTTTGACCTATCCAAATCACAAAGACCCTTGAAGGACAGGCTCAAACATACAGCCAGGTGATGCATAATGATGCTTCAGCATGATGAGCATAAAGACGGCGCGAAAGAAACACTGCTTCATGGTCTTCTGATGGATAGGTAGGCGATTTTAACACCGGCCGAGCCCATGCTCTCTCAGAGAAAGGAGTCATATGCGTGAGCTGCTGCATGCATTTCTCCCTTAGGATTGGTCGTTACCCAGCAGTTCTTGTTTAATATCGCAGCAGGATTCGGTATACCACGGCCAGATGTAACATTTGACTGGGTCTTTTATGTCATCCTATCTGCTGAATTAGCAACTCGGAGGTGTAATGATGATCGCTTTAGGTAAATGTTCTTAGGCGTTCTAGAGCATTGGTAACTTGTCAATATTGAAACGGCGTTTGTATGTTGTACGGGGCTTGTTTTTGTTGGTGTTGTTACAGATGACAGCCTTCATGTGAAATCATGAACCCCCGCTAATCAACGAACGATGCTGAAAGTTCCTTGTCAAGTCTCTCTTATTGAAGTCTGCAGATAATTTTGTAGTCGACTATCCCACTTGACGGTAACGTCAATGATACTATATCGCCGACGGCGGAATTTAGCATTCTTTGTACCGCCGGGGTAAAGCACGGTCAAGGCATGCCTATTTTCCTACTAGTGAACAGGCGCAAGCGTGGATCGGGGAAGTTGACGACTCGGCTGGCCTGTCCCTGTTTAATGATTAGTTTGTGGAAGGATGGGGGAGCTGATTTAGCTGTGGCTTTGCGTGTCTCTACAATGGTAAATATTTCTCATGTCATGACAATCAAGTATATTCACTGTAGCCCAAGCTTTTTTTCAGTAAACATCTAAAATAATTAAATATCATGAGACTATTTTACGACTATACTTCAAATAAATCACAAACCACATATAAATCATTCTGAATCATATGAGCATTATTTTGGATCCGCGAATATGGAAGCCAAATATGGTTACGATGCCTGCCTAAAGAACAAGAGACTGATGCCAGTTGCATCAATGCCTTCTCGCGGAAATGCCCAAAAATTTAACGTAGACCCGCCCAACAATTTGACAGTTTATCTCCCAAGACCAAGTACTGATAATAACTCCATATGCCGACGAAACCACCCACCTGAAGAGCCAGTTCAAATGCAATCACCAAATCAGCAGTAAATGAAATCATCAGTCAAAGCCCCAACGCCTAGCAACGTGATTCTTCGTTTTCCTTCCATGAGCCATCATCTTGACTGAATGCATTAAAGAGTTTCAATAATATTCACATATCCTAACCGCATCGAACCAGGAGTTGGGTGCCAGTATATACACAAGATGAGACGAGTAGCAACATAAGAAAAGAGTTATATAAATCTATACAAAAGGACAGGAACCACCCACCATAGCGTATGTTCATAAATTCTACACTTATTATAATTTTTTCTTCCCTTCATTTCCAAGGCGAGGCGAGGCCAGCATCAGGAAAGAGTATGAACCAATGCTGCCGTATCGCGGGTAGCATCGCATTACTGTCACTAGGTGAAATATTCACAACCACCGGGAAGTCCATTAAGTGTTAGCATTACATCACAGCAAACCTGGAGATAGCGGTTGCCCTGGAGGCTCTTCAGAAGCATCAGTCAGTCAGTCCTTTGGCTGAAGTTTTGGCAGCCTCACAAATCGACGCTCAATGCTAGCACAATTTGCTCCGATTATATAAGTGGGTTTCTCCAGAATTACTGCTCGGTTAAAAGAGGGCTACAGATTCTGTATGAGAGGTAGTAAGTTGAAGAGTTTCGGTGGATGGTCTGCCATATGCCCCAACGCAGAGGTCTCTGAGAACGAAACAAGCAATGCTCGTGGACTTCAAGTGATGAACAAAAAGATATCTTTTTAGTGCTGCCGCGCTGTTCCAAAAAAACCTTCATCAGTCAGCGATGAGCCAAATCAGTAGATCAAAATACACCTCTTACCAAAAAATATCATTATATTTATCTTCATATCTACCAAAATTGCAGAAAATCTATGTTTATTTGTTTGACCCTTACAAAAATAACTTTGCCCAGCAAATGTGGGCAACACCAAATTGTTGCCATGAGATTCATCTTCTGAATCACTTGTTCGGAATTTATGCAATTTTATTCGGGCATTTCCAATGCAAATCGATGCTTGGTTGAAAACCAATTGGTTGTAGAAGCTTAGATGATTCTCTTATTTTGGAATAAGATTTTTTTTTAATGATGTAGAATTTATTTGTTATTTCTTAATTTCCTTATTTTGGACGGTCTGCAGCATTCTGCCAACTTTTTTCTTACACATTGTAAGACATTTATCTTTCCTAATTAAAATGTGCAAAGCCAAACAATGGAAAGATAAATCCGGTTACAGTATTCACATCTGTAGCTCTATTTCCGCTCAACCAAATAGCCGCCCCTATATCTAAAATGTCACCAATTGACCTACGTACGAAATCAGCATGATCCATCGCATTGACTGGGATGCACTTTGGTTAGTTCTTTTCTTTTTCTTTATTCTTTTTCTTTTTTTCTTTTTTATTTTTAGGCGGTGGGGGGGGGGGGATGGGGCTGGGGCGGTTGGCGGGGGCGTTCAAAGGCCAGATAGACCAAACCTCTTTTTCATGCCGCAGTTTCGTGCTATAAACTGTCTTGACCTGCTCAGTGCTTCTTTTCAAGTTCAAGCTCAAGCTCGTAGCGAAGCAGCGTTCTATAGAGCTCAGAACGATGATGAGACAAGAAACTCACTTTTATCTGAAAGAACCTTTTGATAGATAACCGGAACTCTGCCGAGTACCATCATCTTCATCCTCGCTTATGGAACTGACAAACAAAATACATTATAACCAGAAATAAAACTGTAAAAACCCCTTTAGAGAAACAAACTTCTTGTGCGAAAAAAAAGCAAAACAAACTCCTGTGGGGGGAAAAATTGCTAACATCACAGGTAATGACATATAGTAATGACAACAGTGAAAACCACAGATACATATGCATTTTTCCCTCGTGTTAAACAATCATAGATATCGAAGTGAAACATGAAACAAAATAAATAATGGATTCATCTGATTGCAGGCAATAGATTCAACTAAACGTAAGGCGAAATTTAAATTACAATTCAAGATGGTTCACAACTCCAGAACTATTCATATTGAAGTTAGCAACAGACGATTACCCTGGTCAAAGATAAGAGCTAGAGATCGCAACGTATCTGCAAAATTAGCCACTCCCGACTTTGTGCCAGTAACACAACTACGCGAAACCTTCAAAGAGACTCGCTGCATTCTTTACAGCCAGCTTCATACGCAGCAGAGCACTGTACTGGACGCCCTTCTATCAGCTTGACCATAGATTTGTGCGTGCTTGCTTTCTCTATTGCTCATGCAGACAGTTCTCCAAATGTGCATCAATTGATCTTGCCTTAGAGGCGCAGCTAAGGAGAGTTATATAAAAAGCTTATGTTAGTTGTAGCTTACAATTGAAAAATGCTTGGCATGTTGAGCTAAATTTCATCAAACTGAGAAATTGAGAAAAAAGTGCTGAAGACACTGTACAAAGATACTAAAATAAGTCGCATATCCACACATCAGTGAGGGCAGAATGCCAGATACAACAATTTTGATGTCCGCATCAACAATGCTAACAACATACATTCACATTTTGTTATGTGATGCATGTACAAATATTCTAGGGTTATTGTAGGTAGTGCAGCAGTTACCTAAAAATTGTTATGTTAATTAATGGGCCCATGAATTTAAACACACAAACACATCCATAAGCTGGACATGCACACATTCAACTAGTACCTGACTAAGTTATTAACGGATCACCAGCGTACGTTTCATTGCACAGAGACGAAACTTACAGGTGATAAAAGGGTGAATTGCAGA